CGAACAATGCGCGGGTTAGAGAAAATGATACCAAAGATCGTGTTGTTCGGATTTAAAAACTACGAGGTGGTCAACAAAAAACGAGTGGCAGTGAGTGGAAGGACTCGAAAGGACTTGAAAACAGAAACGGCAGGACTTGGGACTTGACTTGACACTTTTCAGTCTTGACTTGGATTCGACTCGGACTTGGCCTATTTGGACTTGAGACTTGATTCGGACTTGAGTGCAAAGACTTGAGACTTGCTCGTGACTTGCAAAGCAATGACTTGGTCCCCCACCTCTGGTTCTCGCACACAGCCATTCACAGACAGACGTACTCTACTAGTATAACACACAGTAGCACTACCAGAAAAGTCATTGATCGCAAGGGGTACGAACTTTGTAAAAGTAGCGTGTTAGCTCACTCTCTCACGAGGATGACTTGTGGTTTTAGCTTGTACTAAATGAGAACGGTTTCACTGAGGAACAAAATCAGGTTCACCTCTGTTCCACATGGACTCATTTTTGCGCAGACAAGAAACTTCAGTGGTCACATGACCCGTCACAAACGTACCCTCTTTGCACTCCAACGCAACGCGGCTCTCCAAGTTGTCCATTTGCAGCTGCAGACGTTTGAGGGTACGGTCTGCATCCCGCGTTTTCCTCTTGTAGGCGATGAGGACGGCAATGATGGCGATAAGCAACACTCCACCACCCGCTCCAATACCGATGATGGCCGGAAGTGTCAGAGCACTGTCCGAGTAAATGTGCAGCATTCCTGGAGAATATTCCAGACCTCCAACCAGGATCTATGGAGAGTATGCTCACATTAGTTTCGTTTCGTTTCGTTTTCATTCCCAGATCTATGGAGAGTATGCTCACATTAGTGTTTCGTTTCGTTTTCATTCCCGCACGCTGCTCTGATGTGCTAGTGTCCTAGTGATGGCGAGGGACTTCACCATGACCCGCTGTTCTCCAGTCAGATCTGGCGAATCACAGAGCAGCTGGTTTTCCGACACGGTCAGCACGCACGGAGACTCTCCGATCAGGACAGTGTAGTTTAGACGGTTGTTCCCAGGAGCAGAAGGAATCAGGTTCTTACCCTAAACACAAAAACAAACACACAAGGTTGGACACAGTCCTTTTGCTTCATTTACTCCTCTTTTTGTCCACTACTTGTTTCTTCTCTCACCTTGAGAATTATTGGTGATCCAGGTTTGACCTCCAAAATCCCAGAATTCCCCAGAGGGTCAAAGGTGGGGTTTGGGTAGTGCAGAAAGGGGGTGGAGTTTAGGACCAGTAGAGATGACACCTAGGAAAAATAAAGGAAACAAGCAGTGGGTCAGTTAATGCTTCACTTTCTCCTGAGGAATACTGTATGTGTGTGTACAAAAGAGGATGAGCAGGTCACCTGGTCAAGAATGAAGCCAAACTCGTCGGGGCGCAGTGCGCCCTCTAGTGGTTTTGGTTTACTGTAAACCAGACCAGGAGCCAAACAAGTCATGGTGCTGTCATTGACTACGTTGCAGAACTAAAGAGAGAAGAGACAAAAAAAATTACCACTAATGCTCCAGACGTTAGTTCACAAACCCCTGCCCCCTACTGGCAAAAAAAAAAAACACTCGTTAAAATATAATTTTTCTTATTTTAAATACAAAAGTTGAAGTTTTTTTTTTTAATAATTTAATGTCAAAGTTTTAATGTTAAAAATATTTATTTGAGGGATTTTTTTTGTTGGTTTGTTTTTTAAAGGTTTCATGGTGGGATTTCTTTTAACTAGACTTTTTTTAGACATGATGTTGCGGTGCTTTTTTAATTATTTAATCGAAATGTTTTTGCTGACGTGTTTCTTACGTTATTTGTTTCCACTCCTCCATACTTTGCCCGAACCTTAGGCTCTTGGATCGTCAGCAGGTTTGTTCCTGTTACTGTGATCACTGTGCTGCCACTACGTACACACACGCACAGGCACAAATAGAGGTTACGGGTTGAACCGCTGACAGGTTCTAAAATTTCCGTATCATACATGGAAAACTGATTTACTTGAGTATGGTCCAGTTAGGTTCGATGCTGGTGATGGTTGGATCTTCAGTGTAAATGTATTTCGTGTCAAAACTCGTCACCTCGGCTCTGTCAATCATCAGACGAATGGCGGTGGGGCCCGTGCCAGACAGGGAGGCGGGGGTGATGCAGATTATTTCCCGGTTACTTCGTCTGAGGCAGACAGAAAAAAACATGGTGAGTGGTATTATTTTAAAGATTTTTTTTTTCTATGATTGACTCATAATTCTATTTGTCTTAAATCTACTGACTTGACAAACAAACACTCCTCCTTGTCAATGAAAACACTGACGCTGCTGCCAGCGTCCAGGTGTCGTCCTGTCACTGTCAGTCTGGTTCCGCCGGAGACCGGACCTTTTTCTGGACGGACTCGGCTGAAACTGGGACTCTAGAAAATCAGGAGAAAAAGAACTGAATCATCTACACACCAAAAAGTAAATTCAACTTTATTGATCCCATATTTTGGGAAATCCCTGTGCTAACAGCGGATCTCTCGAACCCAGGACCTCTCTGCTCTTCTGCTGCTGCTTCAGACCGACATAAACTCACCACAAATGAGTATGTTTGCGTGGACAAGGTTCGATACTCTGCACTGCAGACACCAATGCAGAGCTCGACTGGACCTCCAGGAGAGTGAGGGAGAAGAGCTTCAGCCATGTCACACACAATTCTAAAAAAAAAAAAGAAAACAAAAACAGAATCAGGTATATACGTTCTGAAAGACAGAAATAAAATGTGTGCGGTAAAAGTCTGGTTAAATTGGTAAAAACATCCATGGGTATTGTAAATATAACTAACAACTAACATGACTGTAGGAGCTAACGCATGCGCACGTATAACAAAAAAACACTGACCTCTCGGCGCTGATGTACTGAGAGGGAACGGGGTTACAGCGGACCCCAGCCACCTGAACATGAGCTATCTCCTTCACCTGCAGACCCAGGTTCTCTCCTTCTATTGTCACTCTTGTCCCACCTTCACGGGGTCCAGTCAGAGGATCAATCTAAGGACAACAGGGACAGTTAATAAATAGGAATTACTTTAGGAGGGAATGTTTGTTCCCCAAAATGTCCGATTAATGGTCAGGTCACGAGTCAGCTTCGCAAGGGAATAAAGACGATATTGCATTACCTTCTTATCAACTGGAGGGAATTGTAGGGAACGGACTAATCCAGAAAAATACATTTGAGAAAAAAAAAAAACAACTAAAATAATAATAACATTTAGAATAGAATCAGTATCAAAACGAACGTCTGAAGTATGGTTTAGAAGACAAAAAAAATGTGTACAATTTAACAATTTATACTCAGGTGCGACATATATATTAAAACATATAATTTCACATGTTCGTTATATTCACACTGACAGCCGCTAGAGGGCACTCTATAGGTTCGTGTGCCAGTATCTGCTACTCCTGTACCACTGGAAATTTACGTTTTTTATTTAATTTCCATGTTCGTTATATTCACACTGCCAGCCGCTAGAGGGCACTCTAGGTTCGTGTGCCAGTATCTGCTACTCCTGTACCACTGGAAATTCACGTTTGTTATTTAATTTCCAGGTTCGTTATACTCACACTGACAGCCGCTAGAGGGCACTCCAGGTTCGTGTGCCAATATCTGCTACTCCTGTAGCGCTGGAAATTCACGTTTGTTATTTAATTTCCATGTTCGTTATATTCACACTGACAGCCGCTAGAGGGCACTCTAGGTTCGTGTGCCAGTATCTGCTACTCCTGTACCACAGAAAATTTACACCTTCGTTATTTTCACACCGACAGCCGCTAGAGGGCACTCTATTTGGCTGGTGCGACTTATAGTCCGGAGAGTACGGTTAGTATGAATTGTATACCAGTGACCTATTAAATAACAAAGCGACCCCCCCTTCAAAAGGTCTGTATGCAGGAGAATGACAACAACTATTAGATAAATTTGATAAATATACCTTTATGCATATCGCAGGTAACATAATATTAATTAGAGCCATAAAGGCTGTCAGTGAACAGGACTAAACCCTCAGGTCAAACTTACACAACAACACATTATGACTTTCAATCCCAGTATGCAGATGCCTTGTACTAGGAAAACCGCTCCATATCATTTTACCGGATTAACTAATCCTAATTTCTACGCCTTTATATTTTTTTAAATGCTACTGAGCCACTGCATGTTCAGCCCTGCTCATCTGCAGGGGGGAAAAAAGTGGAACGGGGCTTTAAGTAACCATGGCAACAGTTCAGCGGTGAGATCAATCCTCACAAGTAATGATATCCCCTTCCATCCCCCGATGGCATAATCAATGCCATCTGACATATATGGCCCCTAATGTATGAGATGGAGACGGTCAGATGAGACCATGAGGGCAATGCAGGGCTGCTTTGAGGTGACTCACTGGCTGCTTCTCCATGTAAGCCCCATGGTGGGCGGGCTGTTATACAGACTCATACTGCATTAGCTCTGGTCCATGGTTTTCGACTATTCCTTGATCGACGACGGCTGCTCAACAGTCAACAGCGCTCACCCCGGGAACACTAGCAAGCATCATGTTCAGTGACTTCTCTGTGTATTCTCTCCTGTTCAGTGTCTTTCCACTTTCCACCACCAGCTTTGACTACTGCATCGAGTGTCACCTGCCACCTTCAGATATTTCTTCCGATGACTCAGCAGCAGCCAAATGCATCACTAGTTGGTAAGGAGAGTGAGGACAGGACCGCGGTGGACGACTTTGTCACACTGATCAATGGGAACCCACTTCATTTCAACTGGTGGTGGACCCAGGCCACGGTGACCCCTATAAATATTCATGGGGTCAATATGGTGGTGTCCAAGTATACCGCGGTATATACAATAAACTGGACTGTTCAAATCATACAGATAATGCTTACAAAAGGCAAGTTGCCAAGTGCACCTCAGTGGCACCTGGTGACTGTGAACGTGGTTCAAATCTCTCTATGCGTCCTCCTAATATAATAAGTAGTCGATGGTAGTCCTTTTTTAAAACAAATCAAATTTCCAGACGTTTACTAAAAAGTGGACCAAAGTAAAAAAAAAAAAAAAAATTTTTTTTTGGCCTACAAAAACTCAAAGAAATAGAAAGTGCATTGTTACCTTGGTGATGCGTGGGTGACTGCAGCGCAAGTTGTGGCGACCGTGGTGCATCCAGTTCTGTTCGGGGGTGGGGCAATGCTGCAGCAGCAGACACTTCCTGTTCTCCACGCACCAGCCACACTCGAACGCGGTGGGCGCTTTGAGACACTGACCGCAACTGGAGCGCTGAGCCTCACATTTGTACAGCAGCGCTGAAAAAACGGTCAACAGGTCAGCACGTCAACAAAGAGCCACTCGGTAAAAGATCACATCGCATGTATTTACCTTTCATCGACGCCGGTTTGTCGATAAAAAAATCTCCATCCCAAACAACCGAAAAATCCACAGGGAGATCACCGACCTCATCACCCTCATACCAGTACTAAAGAAACACACAAACGTTTGTTAGACTTGATGGTTTGGCGTGTCAACCAAAAGTGCATTCTCGCAGTTCCTCTAACGTCACGAGGATTTGCAGTAAATGTCCTCTACATCTATGTTAAAAAGGAAAAAAAAAACAGACGGATGAGGTTGAAGTAAATGATGGATGGTGACAAAGGGAAGGTATATACCCCAAGGGAAAAAAAAAATGGATTAGAAGGAAGGGGAAAGATAAAAGAGGATGGAGCGACGAGCAGGGATCATTCACCATCCTCTGTCTGCTCACATCAGGCTTTCATCAATCATGTGACACCATCACATGATCATTAATCTAGGTCTGACACGGGAAAGAAAAGTCCTAGTCTGATGTGTTCATAGAGAGAAAAAAAAAATCTGCATTTTCTTATTTTTCTCACAAGATCCAGGAGCCTCTTTACTTTACTTTATTACATTTTCAATTAATCGGCTCAGACGTGCCTTTGATACACAAACTGTCCACAAGGGGCAGCAACAGATTAGTAGCTTTTGTATATTTTGGCTGCGATAACCGAGCTCGAAGGGAAGAGTCTGTCTGTCAGTGGGGATAATGAAGACATAATGTGACAGATTTTATTTTTATTAATGATTTGTATCAACTTGAATATAATGTTAAAATGAATGAGGATATAAAATGCGCGTGCGCGCGCGCGTGTAAGTTTAATTAAGGTATTACACTCCTAGGGGAAATTGACTATCTGGTGCAATAGTCGACAGGACAAGTGTCGTGTTGTGTTTTTGGGGGGCAGGTTTAATGCTAAGACAGATGTTGTTGTGATGTTTAGAACAGCAGAAGTGCATGCCGGATAGTGCGGTCCCTTACCGAGGTGTTCTGACACTGAATACAAGAGGAGTTAAAGCGCACTGCAGGAATTCTCTGAACTTTTCCTTGGATGTCGAACACGCACTCATAGTTCTTCTGACCGGATTGTGGTTGAGGGAGGTTACGAGCTCGCAGTGTGATCGGACGAACCATTCCGGCCGCAACAAGGATGTCTGAGGTGGGCAGGATCTGAGGGCAACCCTATGGAGGAGAGAGAAGAGAATGTTAGTGAGCCCCGCAGAGCTAAACAAGTAATCACAAAAAACGTCCACATCACAAATCAGGTTCTTTGCAAATTAGTTACGTAGAAATCGTACAGGAACCTGAATCTGTGCCGTATTTTCCGGAATATAAGTCCCCCCAGAGTATAAGTCGCCCCAGCCAAAAAAAAAAAGCATAATGAAGAAGAAGAAAAAAAAAACATATATAAGTCACTGTGGACTATACGTTTCACCGATGCCCTCTAGTGGTTGTCAGTATGAAAATAACAAACGTACGAGAGTTAGCAGATACTGGTACACAAACCAAGAGCGCTCTTTTGCGTCTGCCAAAAAAAAATAACAAACGTGAAAATAACAAACGTGAAATTGTATATTTTAATATATATAGGTCGCACTTGAGTATGACGAAAAGTGCGACTTATAGTCCAAAAAAAATACGGTACTCGCTAATTCCTTGATTTGATTTTGTACTCTTTCTTGTTGATCCCTACGCAAAAGGTGCCAAATGGTATATTTAAAAAATTTCAACCAATCTTATTATTACATTAAGAACGTTTAAGTGGGAACCCTAAGGTCTGAGATGGGCTTGCCAACTTCCCAGGATGAACCCCAACCCAGTCTGAAGATTGTTGGAACTGACTCCAAATCAACACCCTCCCCCGTTGAGTGCGTGTCATTTCAGCAGCCCCAGGAAGCTCCACAATCTGTTTCTGTCTCATACACACACACACACACACACACACACACACACACACACACACACACATCAAACACACTGAGACACACACACACACACACACATAGACACTGGAAGCTTCATTAATGAGCATCAACACAGCAATTAATATAAAGACTGACAGAAAGAGCATTACACCCCAGGAAGTAGAGTAGGTAACACAAACACACAAACACACATCAATGGCTTGTGTGAAGACACCCTGACTTACACTGTAGGTGTCTGTAATTTATTTTTACAAAGTTCTTTGATCCCCTTTAAAAGATATCTCCATCCCTTTTCCCCATATACTTCTATTTATTTGCTGCAGATTTTTATTTATTTACATTTTGGCTGGTGTTTTGACCCCTGAACACAAGAAAGAAAAAGATCAGTGTCATCTGGTCAACAGTGGGATTTTGCCAATCTTGTTATCACTGTTGCCTAGCACAGTGGTTTCCAAAATAGGGGCTGCTGGGTGACACCGTCTCAAAAAAAAAATGGAGGTAACATAAGGAAAGAAAAGAAAAGAAAGAAAATCAAATTATAAATTACTGTTCGTTTCTGATGGTATCTGAACGCTCCTTACGCGACAGCTGCAACTTCAGCATGACGATGTCATAATCTCTGTTGACCTGGTGGTTTGCACCTGTTATCAAGCTGCTCTCCTCCTCATGCTAGCGGGTAGCTAGCTAGCGCAAAAATGGAAAAGGCCTTTGACAAGCAATAGACTGATGAAGCCAACTAATGGTTTGTTTATGAGGCTTGTTGTTTAGTGGGAATGTGGGAATCATTTTCTAAGGCTAAACAAATGTAGTAATTATCGGACAGTCGTAAGTAAGAAAAATACATCCTGAAATTTGAGTTTATTTATGCAAGTCATCTTTGGAATGGACCGATAAATATTTGTCGCGGGGGAAATTTTTTATTTTGTCTCCCTCTGCTTTGTGATCACTGACCATTATTTTCTCGACATTAAAGAGCAGTTATGTAGTTGTTGTCGTAAGTGTTATCGCAAGTTAACATCTTAAATCAGTTCTTCGATAAGGTACGCTTCATTTGAATAATTCAGAAAGATTCAGACACCGTGTTCACACGCCTCAGGTTTATTTTGCGATATGGATATTTTTGAATTCTTGAATAGGGTGGAAGGACTTTATTTTTGTGACAATGTCATTTTCTTTAAAAAAAAAAAAAGCCAACCAAACATCACTGCTTTAGAAGAGAAATATAAATTAATTTAATTAATTAATTAATAAATAAATAAATTTATTTATTTATTAATTTAATTATAATAATAAATTTAATTATAATAATAAATTTAATTATAATAATTACAATAATAATTATAATATTATTATAATAATATATATATAATATAATATAATTATAATAATAATTATAATATTATTATAATAATTTAATTATAATAATTATAATAATTTAATTATAATAATAAATTGATTAAATTAATTAATAAATTAATTGTAAATTAATAACGTTCTTTTAGGGACATTGTATCTCCGGACTCTCTTGGTTTCTGCTCGTTACTCAGGCACAAGTGAGCATATTAAGAGAAGAAGTCTTTTATTTTGAAGTAAAAAAAAACCAACGCCATTCCTCATCTTACCGACACTAATTGCTATGCGATCAACACCGATTGTCATGATTGGACATTAATTGAGAGGTTACTCGTCTTCCATTAAACAATTAGACAATCGCAGGTTGTTAGCCGCCTGTTGTCATTTTTTCGCCCACACACTGCGTGCTGTCACTGACAACATTAAGAGGTGATGGGAGAGTTAGTCCCTCAGGTGGTCAAACATTCATATTCTACTGCTTAATCTTGATTGGGGTGTGAGGGAGAGAGGAGAATTGGTAGATGACTGCTGGAAAGAAAATGGAACGCGATGCGGATAAACCGAGCACAGAGACTAGCGTCACACGTTGCTATGTTTCCTCTCAATAAACACTTTGGCGTCACTGCTATTTTTTCCCTCCCTTTCTATGATTACTTTTCTCTCTAATCCATTTTGCCTGCAGTCGTCCTTTGCCTACTACTGGTTCTTGTGGCCTTCTTTTTTTTTTTTTTTTTTTTCTAATTCTCTCTTTTTTCCCTTACATAGATACTAATTCCGATCTTCTTTCCCAACTCTCTAGACCAGCGGTGCCCAACGTTTTTTTGTGCCACGGACAGGTTAAATGTCTGAAAATCTTTTCACAGACTGCTGGTGTGGCGGATAAATACGACCGGCATAAAAACTGGTGTTTTCTAAAACTAATAATAAACGTTAAGCCACTGTGTATGCAACTTTATCAGCAGCGTCCTCGTAACATCGAGCTTGTCTTTTAATGCAGAACAACTTGGTCTTCAAGTGACGAAGCAGTTTTGAAGGCTTCATTGCCTCATTAGAGAGCCGTTCGCCGCATATTATGCGACGCGGGCTCAGTGCGTGGGAACAACCTGTCGCAATACATCCACATTTCAAGTAGGACTCCTGGAATTGTCTGTTAAATACAGCTTTTTTTTTCTTCTTCTTTCTCCTCACTGACTATTTTACCCTACACAAAGAAACTTTCCAAAGACGTTTTTTTTTTTGTTCACTTTGCTAGCTTGGTATTTTAGTTGTTACTGGGCGGAACAGACGCTGGTAGCGGACGGATGTAAGACATGTGGCCGAGGCAAAACAAAACATTGTTCAGAATCAGATAATAAATAACACAGAAATAACGTAAGTTATGCGATCTTTCTATGTGGCCCGTCACCAATTGAGCCACGGACCAGTGCTGATCCGCGGCCCGGGGGTTGGGGACAACTGTTCAGGACGACTCAGGTGTTTATGTTTGTACCTCCATATTGCTGACTCTTCCTTCCTGGAAAGAACAGTCCTGAAGGTTGTTGGTGCAGATGTGACGATATTTGCACCAGTGACACGGAAAGGAGCTGCTCACACAGGAAGTACACCTGAAGAGAGAGAGAGAAAGAAAGAAACAGGAAGTAACGTGGGCGAGCCTGCGTACAAATGTTTGGAGATAAGTCACGTGTTAACGATTTCATCGGCGTAAATGTATTTTATTTCAGTCCACGATGTCTTAAAAACTAAACTTAAACGGGCTGCTTAATAAGGTAAGGTGAGGAGAGGACACGTATGGTGCAAATGATTTAGACTTACGAGTTGAGCACTGAGCAGTTGTAGTAGATGAAGTTGGTGCTTATGAACTTTTTCTTGGTTTCTGTGGACCTCAGGCTGAGCTGGATCACACGCTTTTCCCCTGGAATGACATCATCGTAGTTGGTCAGCAAAACAAACCCAGTGGGGGGAAAAAAAAAAATGTTACGCGCGTTTGTGTGCTTCTACCGTGTGTATTTGCGGGCGTCGGAAGCTCCTTCAGAGACGGTGACATACATATCACCTGACCCTTCTCCAGGACCTCACCGCTGCTCTCACTCAGATTCTCAAAGACGCAGGAGACCCCACCAGAGAGGGCCGGAACATTCTGGACCCTGATGGTTAGCTTGACAGACAAATAAATGTTTATAGATTGGCCACCACCAGGGGGCATCACCAAGTAGAAGAATTACAGATTTTTTTTTTCCCTTACCTGCGTTGGGGGTGAAGTCACAGACATGTTACTGGGCATCACGGAAATTTCCAAACACTGGTCTAGGTGAGTGTTAAAGTGCTGAGGCTCCTCCCACTTCTCGCAGGCTTCCTGCGTGGAACACCTGAGTGGGGTGGAGTCAAACTTATAACGCGAAAGTCGAAATTTAAGTAAGTACGTAAGTGTATACAACGCAGAGGCTACGCCGGTTACATATGTAATTAGTTTAGTTACTTTAAATAAATTAATTAAATACATTTTTTTTTCTTTTACATGTTTTAACCATCAACAAGTTTTTTTTTCTTTTCTGAGTTTCAGCTAACTTTTTAGTTTTTTTTTTTTTTTTTTTTTTTTTTTTTTTTAGATTACTACTTTGTGTTTCTGTAGGTATTGTAATTTCCGGACTAGAGACCGCTAACTTTTTTCACATGCTTTGCAACCTGCGGCTTAAACGGTGCTGCTGCTCATTTTTAGATTTTTACGGGCTAACAAAATTCCCACCACTAGCGATCAATGACTTTTCTGGTAGGCTACTGTGTGTTATACTTGTAGCATATTTCTGCCTGTGATTGGCCGTGTGCGTATATGTGCATGGGGCGCGCACGAGAAATAACGGTAGCGAAAGTTCAGAGCAGTTGAAGCGTGAGTTGGTTATACAGGAGCTGTTAAAACTCTGTTTATGTTCTGTTGTGGTCGGTGTGGCTGATAATAAAGACTAGTGATGTTCGATACCACCAATTTCCTTTCCGATCCGATACCGAGTAAAATTCGGGCTGGTATCGCCGATACCGATATTTTATCATTTGTCTTTAAGAATCCAAGGCAGAGTTTTTTATTTATTTATTTTAAACTCTGGAGTGTACTGAGGTAGCTGCCTCATTTACTACACAGTCAACACAACAATAGAAAAGCCCACTAACGCAATCATATAAAATATGTCAAAACAACGTTTCAAACTCTGAAAACATGTTATTTGTATAAAAATAAAAAATAAAAAAATAATCTGAGGAGCCATTTGGGACCCGAAAGAGTCGGACTTTTTCAGGGAACCGAGCCAAAAGAACCGGTTCTCTAAAAAAAAAAGAGCCGAGATTCCCATCAATAGTGACTGAGTGAGAGCACGGAGTAGAGCCCCTGTGCTTAAGCATGACGCACACACCCAGGCGGAAGAAGAAGTAGTCCCACCAACCGAGCGCCACTTAGACAACATCTCAATAATTTGGATACTTTTCACCATGTTTCTGTTTAGGATACACCTCATCTCAGAATGCGGAAGTTATCAAAAGTATCGATGTTTTGATTTCAGGATCGATTTCAGAGCATAATGATCCAGAATCGGAAGTATCGATATTTCAGGATCGATCCGCACATCACTAATAAAGACCCCAACTTCTACCTGTTTCTGTTTACCTCTGCTGCGGACGAGAACAAAGTTGAGGGAGTTAGCCCCCGAGCTAATGTTAACTTTAGCTCTGGAGCAGATCACTAAGTCTCCCCATGTGAACTCCAACTACGGTTGGGGCTTTTTTTTGGTTATATTTTGGTTTTATCTTTAGAAAATAAAAGGTCCTTACTTGTTGAAAAGAACACACCAACCACAGTGGGGATCTCCAGAACCAAGACAGTCTGAGCAGCTGGTGTACTGATCACAAGTTTCCACAGGAAGTCTGGAGACCTGCAGACACAGAAAACATCAGCAGTTCTTTTATGATTAATAAGGGTGAAACTATATACAGCAGTATCTGTATGAGCGTGTGTGTGTGTTTTATATGTACACACCTGTCTGTCACTCAGCAGGTAGATGAACTGATGATCAGGACTGAAGACCATGTCTCTAAGGATGGGCTTTCCTTCCACCACTGTCACGGTCTCGTACAGCAAAGCATTCTGGGCCGGCGGTGGGATGCCATCTACACGGATCTGTAATTTACACACACACAAAGACACGCTCAGTCAGAATGGTAACTTGATGATATCGTTGTTTCAACCGTGGCGAGGATAATGTGGAATTGTTGTCGTCCTGTTATGAGTCTTAATATAGTTAAAAAAAAACATGAGTCTTGAAAATAGCATATATTTTAATAGCATATGGAGCAAGAGCTGGTCTAAAAACAATGGGAAATTAACAAGTGTGTCTGTGTTTGTGTGTGTCTTCAGGAGGTGATGCAGCTGATGAAAATGTCAAATCCTCTTTATACAATTCCTCCTCTTCCTGTGTCTGACCCAGAAATGGTCCGGAAACGAAAAAAGGAAACAAAAAAAAAAGGAAACAAAAATGAAATAAAGAAACAAGTGAGGAAGAGAACATTGATCCTAACGTAAACACTCTCAGTTTTTCCTCTTTCTGCTTACAGCTAATGAAAGTGACAGTGAACGACTCGTCGTTGTGACACAGCTCACAACAAAATGTGACCTCTGCCTTTAACCCATCACCATAGTGAGCAGGGGACGAGTTGTCAGGATTAGGGTTAGGATTAAGATAAGGGGTATAATTTTTTATATAATATATAAAGTTTAGGGTGAGTGTCTAGAGAATGCATTATATATGTCTACATATATAAATATATATACACATATATATACATATATATGTTATGATTTATACATATATATATATATAGCATATATAGGGAGCAGTGTGATTGAGACAGTGCCATGCTCAGAGCACCTCGGTGGACTTGAACCTGAAACCTTCTGGACCCAAGTCTACTTCCTTAAACACCAAGCCACCACTACTCCAACAATGAATCTTCCACAATGAATAAAACCCAAGACAAAGCATATCTGGTTTAAAAAAAAAAAAAATGTAACCTCTGTAAAAATGCTGTATGTGTGTGGTTTTGTGAGAACTCTATTAGCATATATATATATATATATATATATGTATATATATATATATATATATATAAATATATACATATATACATATATATATACATATATACATATACATATATAAATATATATA